AATATAATGTGTTTGTTTTTTTGTAAATACCGAAATATATTGAACACATACATTAATTAATTACATAATTGTAACACTATCCCCTTATACCCCACCAAGAAAAAAAATGTTTGGATTGCATTTCTTAACTCCTTATGTCGCTGGTAAACACATTTAAAGCATTTTTTCAATTAATCCCATGATTTCTAAAATATAATCAGCCTCAACCAAATGGTTGGCATGTCGGTTTATGGTAAAAGTACTGGAGTTAATACATTTACTATGGAAAAAAAAATGAAGTGTAAGACCAATTTATTTTAAAAAATATTAAAAATAAAACATTTTTGAATACCAAATCATCTTTATTTTATTAAGTATGCCATAAAATGTTTCAGATTCTTGTTTAACATGTTTTCTGTTTTTTTTTTCAATAAAACCAAAATCAAGTATAGTAGTGCAACAGGATTATGTTTGATTTTATTAGATTTATTTACTTTTATATTTTTTTTTACTTCAATGTATAAATCATTAAATATTATTTTATTGTGAAAATGTTAAATGGTATTTATGGTATTAAATTATTTAGTATTATTTATTATTACTTTTGTTGTTGTTGCTGTTAACAACATATTTTAACTTGACATTTTATTTATACAGAAGAATATTTGTTGAAATTATTATTAGTTGTTTTTATTGAATTTTTTTCCCTTTATTTATTTACTTTATTTTAATAAGGCTATTTATTTATTTATTTATTTATCATTCATTCATTTTCTTTTCAGCTTAGTCTCTTTATTAATCAGGGGTCGCCACAGCAGAATGAACCGCCAACTTATCCAGCATATGTTTTACGCAGCTGATGCCCTTCCCTTAAGGTTTAACTTGCACTGTATTTCAGTTTTTAGATTAGCATTAAGCGTATGCTTACTACAGTATACATGTATTATGTTAATATATATATGGTTGAAGTCAGAATTATTAGCCCCCCTTTGATTTTTTTTTCTTTTTTTAAATATTTCCCAAATGATGTTTAACAGAGCCAGGAAATTTTCAGTTTGTCTGATAATATTTTTTCTTCTGGAGAAAGTCTTGTTTATTTTATTTTGGCTAGATAAAAAAGCTGTTATTAATTTTTAAAACATAATTTCAAGCACAAAATTATTAGCCATTTTAAGCTATACATTTTTTCCAATAGTCTACAGAACAAACCATCATTGTACAATAACTTACCTAATTACCCTAATCTGCCTAATTAACCTAGTTAAGCCTTTAAATGTCACTTTAAGCTGAATACTAGTATCTTGAAAAATATCTAGTGAAATGTTATTTACTGCCATCATGGCAAAAAAAAAAAAAAAAAAATTATCAGTTATTAGAAATGAGTTCTTAAAACTATTATGTTTAGAAACAAGCTGAAAAAAATCTCTCCGTTAAACAGAAATTGGGGGAAAAAAATAAACGGGGACAAATAATTCAGGGGGGCTAATAATTCTGACTTCAACTGTAAAATAGTAAACATAGGAACATTTCAATGTAAATGTATAAAAAATAAAATAAATATAAAATAGCAATAAACATAAATAATACTTCAATAACAAAAAACAACACAGACTTTTTTGTGCATTGTTTACAGCTAAGCAGTATGAAATTGCTTTTCTTTTTAATATTCAGAATACTGTAGCAACATGAAAGTGAGTGTCCTTCAGATATGTTTTTTTTTTGTTGTTGTTTTATATATTGTTTATATATTGTTGTGTTGTTAATATATTTTAACTTGCCATTTTTTATTTATTCAGCAGATTATTTATTTAAATATTTTTTTATTAAATTGATTCATTTTTATTTGTCAAAACCTAGTGCTCTTGTAATTGATTGTAAAGCAAACAATAATTGTTTTTATCTTATTTTTCTCCTGACCAAAATTAAAAAGTTTAAACCATGACTTTTGTGATCCGTTTACAGCTAGAAAAAATTAAGAGGTACTGGTATAAATAATCTATACACTTAAATAATTAATAGTATATATTTAACTGTATATAAAAATAAAGCTTAATAAAAAAATCAATACAAATAATACTTCCATAACAATAAAATCATTTTCCAAAATCTGATCAAAAATCTTTTTCCCAAAATATTACATAAATATGGGTGAAGCAGTGGCGCAGTAGTGCTGTTGCCTCACAGCAAGAAGGTCACTGGGTCTCTGGTTCAGTCCACGGCTCAGGAGTTTGCATGTTCTCCCTGCGTTCGTGTGGGTTTCCTCCAGGTGCTCTGGTTTCCCCCACAGTCCAAAGACATGCGATACAGGTTAATTGGGTTGGCTCAATTATCTGTAATGTATGTGAATGTGAATGAATGTGTTTTCCAGAGATGGGTTGTGGCTGGAAGGGCATCAACTGAGTAAATATGTGCTGGATAAGTTGGTGGTTCATTCCGCTGTGGCGACCCCAGTTTAATAAAGGGACTAAGCCGACAAGAATATGAATGAATGAATCACATAAATATGTCCTAAATCATATCAAATGCATCATAGATTTCCTCAACGTCCGCTTTACAAACACCAGCTAATAATCGTGTGATCATCTTAAGATAATTCTGCTAATCAGAATGAGACAGAAGTACGGTCTCATTAGTCCTTTGAGCTCCGGCAATTTGCAGCTGCATTCGCTCATCTTCCAAATATCACCCAGCAGCTGCAGACTACAGTGGGTGACCTTTCCCCCTTTCTGCAAAACCCCAGAGCATCACCATTCTGACATTTCCAGCGTTCGAGAGGACGGAGGCGTTCATGCTGTCTTATTCCAACAGAGGCCTTTGTGATATTTAGACAGGGAATGAGAACGCCTTGATCTCTGACAGATGAATGTGAGGACAGGGACCATTAAAGGTTTTAATACACTGCTATGACCTGCTTAATTAAATCCATGTCTGTCAGAAAGCCATGCTCTGTGTGCAACTTAGACACGAGTGTTTCTTTCTTTATTTTATTAATCGCTTTCAAGGTGGTTTTGGAGTATTTTAGGGCTATCTAGAGATTTATACATTCTTTTTTATGCTATGGTAAGATCAATATACTTCTACTTTATAGAACAATATAATACACAAGAACAAAAGTACAAGATATAAATCAATACGATGATAACAAGAAAAACCAAAGAAAGGGGAAAAGGAGTGAAAATGAGCAAAAACTTTTAACCTAAACACTGTTGAGAATTTTAAAGGAATATTTTAAGGCAAAAGTTTTCATACTTTTTACATTTTTGTTATGATTTTTATTGATTCTATTGTACAGAATAAATGCACAGGAAACATTAAAGTACAATATAATAAACAAGCAAAATTACAACTGAAATATTAGTACAAAGATAACGAAAGCAAAAAGGATCTTTAGGGATAATTTAAACAACCAAACTTTGGCTACTGCAAGGTCATATTGAGATTCATAAGTTTTATGACATTTTTTGCACTAATTTACACATAAAAATGCTAAAATTATAACACTCTTCAAATAAAAAATATTTGCTCGTCCAAACAAAGTATTTGGGCAGAGGTGCTCAAACTTTTTTCTTATGAAGGGCCAAAAACCAAACTTGATTAAGGGTGGTGGGCTGAAGGTAAACTGTTTTACGTTAAAGCAGTAGTCACCAAACTTGTTCCTGGAGGGCCGGTGTCCTGCAGATTTTAGCTCCAACCCTAATCAAACACACCTGAACAAGCTCATCAAGCTCTTACTACAGAAGGTATACTAGAAACACCCAGGCAGGTGTGTTGAGACAAGTTGGAGCTAAACCCTGCAGGGACACCGGCCTCCAGAACCGAGATTGGTGACCCCTGCATTAAAGTAATACAATTAAACTTCCTAATTTAAAAATATTTAGAAATATATAAAACATATACTTTAATTGTATCAATAATTATACATATTTTTACATTTTATAACATACTTCTTATAATAAAACCATAAACAATCTCATTTATAACACAATGGAGTTCATTATTTTTTTTAATTTACAAAAAGAATACATTTTACTTGAAAGTGGAATATATATGTGTCAAAATAGTGTTTTTAAAAAATGCCACACACTGTCAACAACCAAAAAAGTGTTTTAGGTTTTTCTACCCTTGACCCTTAAATCTGGTAAGTTAACATTTAATTAAAACATTTAATTTAATTTTTTGTAGCTCAGGAATTAAATAAATTAACAAAAGGTCTGATTGAGGGATTCACCCCAACCTTCGTCATCATTTATCATCTCTTCTCTGATTGATCGGTGGGTCAAATCAAAGGTTAAATGGGTCAATTTTGGCCAGTGGGCCCTAGCTTGGGCATCTCTATTCTATGGGGAGAAATGCATTTGTAAGTAAGGGTCTATTGTGAAATTTTACAAGTTTAACCTATACAGTTGAAGTCAGAATTATTAGCTCTCCTTTGAATTATTTTTTCTTTTTTAAATATTTCCACGATGTTTAACAGAGCAAGGAAATGTTCATAGTATGTCTGATAATATTTTTTCCTCTGGAGAAAGTCTTATTTGTTTTATTTTGGCTAGAGTAAAAGCAGTTTTTATTAAAAAAAAGAAAAAAAAAGAAAAAACATTTTAAGGTCAAAATTATTAGCCCCTTTAAGCTATATATTTTTTAATAGTCTACAGACTTGCCTAATTACCCTATTCTGCTTAGTTAACCTAGTTAAGCCTTTAAATGTCACTTCCATCATTTAAGCTGTAAAGAAGTGTCTTGAAAAACATCTAGTCAAATATTATTTAGTGTCATAATGGCAAAGATAAAAATAAAACAGCTATTAGAAATGAGTTATTAAAACTATTATGTTTAGAAATGTGCTTAAAAAAATATCTCCTTTAAACAGAAGTTGGGGAAAAAATAAAGGGGCCGGGGCTAATAATTCAGGGGGGCTAATAAGTCTGACTTCAAATGTATACTATAACTTTAAAGTTTATGCTATTTTAATAGGATTTAAAAAAAAAAGACGTCAGCCATTTGCTTGAATATATTTGGGAGATAAAATAAATCCACTGAACAAATCTCTATCAACACCAGGATACTTGAATTTTCAGTTATAAACACACCTGCAGTTCCATCATGAATCGCTTGATGGCAGTGTAAGCAGGTTGACCGTGTGAGGGCAGAAATCCTGTTGCTCCTCCATTTGCATTGAGCATTTTGACTGCATCAAGTGCGTCTGACAACTTAAAGATTTACACGGCAATCAGCATGAAATAAATCACTCCAGGTCAGAAAACCGCAGCGCATATTGCCTATATTGCTTATAGTAGTAGTGCTTAGCAGAAAAACTGTAATACAAACGTTTAATCTTATTTAACAGTGATCTTCATATCCGAAAACGGGGGATAAACCGCGTGAGCTCTGGCAGGCTATAGGTATGAGATTATTAAAGATTAATAACACCATATTAAGGGGGAAATTGGTGGAAAGTGTCGCGTGGAAGTTTGTTTTACAAAATAATTTATCATATTTTGAAGTTGCTCGTGTGTGGGCGTGACAAAATATAACTGCCTTTATTTATCGAAGGTGTCACACTTAGCAGCTTTGGTTAAAGCTATGTTTCTTTTATAAAATACACTCATATAGTTCCCTAGCAACAAGAGCTGATGGCAACCGCAGTGCAGTAAATATTTGAGTATATTTTCCCTCTCTTTGCCTAAAAGACACTCGCTTTCATGTTGCTATTCTGAATACAAATAAGAGAGGCAATTTCATACTGTTTAGCTGTAAACAATACACCGAGTCTGTTTGTTTTTTTGGGACAGCACATTTTATGGGTTCAACTTACACTGTATTTCAGTTTTTAGATAAGCATTAACTCCCAGCTATGCTTAATAGTGTACATTGACTCGGAGTTGACTTATAGGGTGGCATTATCTTATCTTATGATATCTTAAAAGTGACAGAAGTGGATTATTATTATTATTATTATTAATAATTTGATATATTGACATGATGGTCTAATAGGCATACAATACTTAACATGTGCATTTACACAAGTGATTTTATTTAAACAGTATACTAAATGCAAGGTGTCTAAATAACATTTAAAACAATGTCAAAATACAAAGGCAGTTGTTATACTGCCATTCTGTGTTACAGATATATTTTGAAATAAAATAACAGTTATTTTGATTAATATGTACTTAAGATATTGAATAAAACATAGAATAAAATCTTAGCTAAAATAGCTAAATCATTTAATTTCTTCCTTGAGACATTTTTTCCTCATTAATGTACACACAGCACCCCATAATGACAGAAAAACACAGAATTTTTGAAATTTTTGCAGATTTATTTTAAAAGTAAAACTGAAATGTCACATAGTCCTAAGTATTCAGATCCTTTGCTGAGACACTCATATATTTAACTAGCATTTCTTCTGATCATCCTTGAGATGGTTCCACACCTTAATTTGAGTCCAAACTGTGTTTGCTTATACTGACTTGATTAGGAAAGTAACACACCTGTCCATATAAGACCTCACAACTCACAATGCATGTCATAGCAAATGAGAATCATGAGGTCAAAGGAACTGCAGAGACAGAATTGTGGCAAGGCAGATCTCGCAAAGGTTACAAAAAAATTCTGCTGCATTTAAAGGGTCACGAAACACCAAAACTCATTTTTTGAGCTGTTGACAGTCATATATGTGTCCCATGCTGCTAAAAACACTATATAATATATTAACATATATTTCACTAAAAGGTGAAAATTGGTTGTTTTTGCGTTATTTCGAGTAAATTCGTACTTCCGGTTTGAAACTAATTTTTGAAGCTGCGTCATGGCCATGAGATCTTAGCGTGTATTCCAGTGTGTAGACTGGACGTCTGTACCTGGGAGTGCCTTATTACGTCTCTGAGTGTGCTGCATTAATGCATGAGTAGGGCCAGACGGAATCTGCGGATGTTTTTTGCCATTTCTGCGGAGAATTTTGGTAAAAATCTGCAGATTTCTGCGGAATTATTTTGGAAGTATCCAGCAGTGTATCAAAACTAAAACCTTAACATATGAAATAAAAAGTAATCAATTACTGAATAAAAACTGAATCAATTTAGCTTTACACATTTAAAAATCTGCAAAATTCTGCGCGCGCAGATTCCGTGTGGGCCTATATAAGTAAGACTTGGTTCAAACCAATCAGCGCGCTCTTTTGTGCATCTTCATTAATATGCATGAAGACCTTTTTACCTGAAGACATTTTTACCTGTTACAGTGTTCTGACGGCAGAGAGACGCCACGTTATGTTGCTAAAACAAGCGTGCAGTGTTGCTTTTATAATTTGCTGCAATGAAGGTTTTGTTTTCATTTTCCCTCTATGAGAGCGCAGCTGGACTCACGTGTGGATTACAGTGCACGTGACGCTCGACAACAATACGTGTCTAAGGAAATTTTTTTTACCTGTGAGCTTTTCTTATCAGGAAATGGTGAAATCCGGATTTGCTGCTCGTCTCCTCTTAATAAAGGCTCTAATTTGGTGTTGATTGTCCTGTCTCTACAGATTTGTTAAGTGAGCGACCAGTGCTCTTTGTTTATTCAGACGGCAAATTTATGTTGAACTAAGTATTACACCAAGTGTAAATATGTTAGCACCACAATCAAACTTACCGTTGTGTAGGATTTTCAACGCATTTTGTGACAGGAATAACACACACGGCTTTCTGACGCAACCTGCCATGTGCATCTAAGTTTCCGGGAAATGCTGAGGGTTTTTTTCTCTCATTCGCTGTGTGGTAACAAACATTGCATGAAAAATACACGCTTAGAGCAGTTCCTTGAATCGAATATCTTATTTGTCACGAGAGGCATGAATGAATTCCCTGAATGAAAGGACCAAACTGCAGTTAAAATCCACCATTTAATAATTTGTCAAATAATTCGATTACTGATGTCCATGTAAACACAGTTACTGTCTTTCTCCCCTGTGTGTGTGTTTTGACTCTGTGAAAATCAGTGCGCGCCCAAACGGACACTCCTATTTTTATGCACATTTTTTACAGACCCTCCCTCTTTTGCTCCTGACACTCCCTCCAAACAGAGCTGGACACGCCCACTTTCCTGACTTTTTCCAAAGTAGAGGTGTGAAAACACCCTGCTGAAACAAGGGGGTTTCATGGTCTTTTAAGGTTCCTAAAGCAGGTCACACACCGGATGCATTGCTCGGCGCCGTGACATGGTGCGCACATGACAGTTAAAAGTATCGCACACGCACACATTCGCATGATATTTAACATGAAACTATTTAGATGGTGCTCTGTGGCGCAGCAGAAATATGAACAGTGTTCAGAGTCGTGGCTGGGTGGTGTGTGTACCCTGATAGAAACCTATGTTTAGTATTCTGAAATGCATGACGCTGCATGGCGTGATGCTCTTTCTGGTGTGCGAGCACAGTGGCCGCTCTAATCCTCAAATGGAAGATGTTCGGGTCAACCAGAACTCTTCTTAGAGCTGGGCCGGCCATCTGGCCAAACTGAGCTATCAGTAAGAGAAAAACCCAAGGATCACTGTGGCTAAGCTTCAGAGATGCATTCGGAAGATGGGAGAAAGATGTAGAAAGTCAACCATCACTGCAACCCTCGATCAGTTGGGGCTTTATGGCTTGGCAAATGAAAGCCTAAATGTTTGCTAAAAACATCTGAAGAACTCCAAGATGGTGAGAGATAAAAATCTCTGGTCTGATGACTTTTTGGCCTTAATTTTAAGTAGTATGTGTGAAAAAAAAAACAGGCACCCCTCATCATCTGTCCAATACAGTCCCAACAGTGAAGCATGGTGGCAGCATCATGCTGTGAATGTGTTTTTTAGCTGCAGGGACAGGATGACCGGTTGCAATCGGGGGAAATATGAATGCAGCCAAGTACAGGGATAACCTCCAGAGTGGTCAGGACCTCAGAGTGGGCCAAAGGTTAATCTTGGACAAGGACACTAAACACACAGCTAAAATGATAAAGGGGGACTTCGCAACAACTCTTTGACTGTTCTTGAATGGTCCAGCCAGAGTTCTGATTTAAACCCAATTGAGCATCTTTAGAGAGACCTAAAATGGCTGTTCACCAACGTGTACATCCAACCTGACAAAACTGGAGAGGATTTGCATGGAGGAATGACAGAGGATCCCCAAATCAAGGTGTGAAAACTTGTGGCATCTTTGCCAAAAAGACTTATGGCTGTAACAGATAAAAAGGTGCTTGAACTAAATACTAAGCAAAGGGTCTGAATGTGATAGTTCAGTATTTCTTTTTTAATGAATGTGCAAAAATGTCAACAATTCTGTGTTCTTTTCTGTTAAAATGTGGTGCTGTGTGTACATTAATGAGAAGTATTTAAATGATTTCAGCAAATGGCTGCAATATAACAATATAAGAGTAAAACATTGTAATACTTTTCTGAATAATTTCTGTACCCACTATGTTTTTTCCCCACAGTGCTAAGATGGGATTGAAAGGGCATGCGCTGCATAAAAACATATGCCAGAGTATTTGGCGGTTCTTTCCACTTACTGTGGCGATCCCTGGTCTAATCTGAAGGAAAGTAAGTGAGTGTTTCTAATAACAAAGTTATACATTTAATAAACCTTGTGAGCAGCCATGTATGAGGTGTTTTAGAGGTTATATGCAATTTTACAAAAGAACTATGGATTCAGACTATTTAGATGATCGAGTCAACTTTTTGTCTTAGTGTCTGCTAGTTTATTACCTTTGGGAATACTTGAAAAATTATTAAAACTCTTTGGTCATTTTTGAGTAATTCAATGATTATGCTAAGCTAATAGTGCTTCTGCAAGACCCTGAGATCAGCTGAATAGATTTTAAAGAATTGGTTTAAAGCACTCAACCGTTTAACTCTAGGGAGTTGTAAAATGAGCCTCTTTTTAAAGAAGTGGAGCGTTTTAAAGATTGAAGAAGAAATTTTTAAAGACTGATATATATATATTTTTTTCTTATGCCGCAGGTGACCTGTAACTGTGAACTAATTTTAAGTTATTTTTGTGAAATGCTACTTTTCTGGAATTGCAGAACAACCACCTCATATACTGTAAGTGTTAAAATGTATTTGTGTTATATGGGATTTTTTTTTTTTGCAAAATTAGCATGTTTCCATTGGATGTATTCTAAATTTTCTGTTTCATGTTGCACAGATTAAAGGGTAATCGAAAAGTATTTGATCTCTTGTGATTTCTCTCTCCTCTGTGCTATTATATATCCTTAACACACTTCACATTCCCACATAATAAACTATTTAATTAAAAATGTAATAAACATGTATTAAATGCTTCTAATGCATACAATGTCTCAAAATCCTGTCTGTAAGCAGCTCACTTGTTTTTGAGCACATATGCGAAAAGTAATGACACATGTGCACATCTCTTTCACATACCAACAAATTAAATATTAAACATACATTCATCAGAAGAGCAGGTCTTTCTTGGCAAGAGAGTAATCAAAATTGCACCAAGCAGTAGATGTTAGTCTGCCGAGGTTATTGACTGCCTCACGAGGTGTGTAGAAATGATGAAATGGTTCAATGTATGTAGCATTTCAACCATTTCAAGAGCAAAGTAATGACGCAGAGAATATATAAGGCACGCTCTGTGCAAGATCTGAACACCACGGTGAATAGAAACAGAAGAGTTGAATGAGCACTGGGCCGGACTTCCCACAATTACTCCCCATGGGGGCTGCTTGTACGGCAAAACAGCCTGTTAGTTTCTGAAGCACACTAGATTTTATTCCCCAGCCTGACTGCTGGTCTTCCATTGCTGCGAGATCCAACAGTTTACTCAATTTTCAACTTTTACACCAAAGCGTCGCTTCCCTCACTCAGGGAAATGCATGCTTACCTTCATTCAGCAGCGTAAAGAGGACAAAACGGCGACAAATTACAGAGAGGGACATTAACGCTGACGAACACAACATGACAAGAAAATGGTAGAGACTTGCGCCTCCCAGCTCTCTTTCTCGCCCAAAGAGATTTAAATAATAAAAACCGTCGGCCTGTGAACAAACAGGATAATTATGGCCTGCAGTCTTCCTGTCGCTGGTCAGGCACGGCAGAGCAGAAAGAAACACGTTATTACCACTCAAAGCTTTCTGCCAAGGAATTAGGCAACATCAATGTTTCATGTAGTCGCCCGGTTTGGAAAGAGACTGAAAAATCGACACATTTTGACCAGGCTTTTCTGTGTGCTGTTTTTCTCCCACTGTGAAAGGAAACGTGGGGTCTGAAAATCCCAAATAGACTGGAGAAATTTTTGCACTTGTAAAGAGAGATTACGAGTTGGAGTAAATTGCATGTGAAACTGGCTTGGATTTGTACATGCAAAGCGCTTGAAGTTCACGGCGGGTAAATTACAATAAAAGATAAAAGGCAAATATTGATGTCATGAAATTAAAGCAGTCATTCCATACTGTAGTGTGTCTAAGTAGAGAAAAACTAAAATTATAATAATAAAAAAATGCTTTAAATAAAAAAAAAATTAATCGAAACCTACAAATGCCATTTGTTAGAAGTATTTTACTTCAATAAAGCCTTTTTCTTCCTTTATTCTACCTGACAGATGTAATTAAAGTGGCTTTGACCATCATAATCTATTTCAAAACACAAACTTTTTTCCCTCTTAGGCTTTTAATTAGTTATACATTTATAAAATCCAAATCTTAAAATAACGTTTATTCACTTTTTTATTTATACACCTACAAAGTCTCCAAAAATCCAAGCAAATAATTCTGTTCTGTTATTTCTGTCTGTTCTTCCCGCCATCGGTGAACAGCGCTTCCATTTCTGAAGCTGATCGCAGGCCTTTCTGTTAAGCAGGGGAAGACAATAACCAATCATAGAGACCTCGCCTGTCAACGCTCAAAAAGCAAGCAGGATAATATTTACATTAGTTTATTTGCTATAAATGCTCATGTTGTTTTTTGTGCATGTATTAGAGTTTTGTTTAATACATTCAGAAAGAGTGTTTTCTTTGAGCAGGTCAAATTAAGGGTACAGTTCATATATCTTACTACTGTATTAAAGAACAAAGTTGTATTATAAAATAATATATAAATACAAATATATTTTTAGATTTTAGTAAAAAAAAATATTGTGCTGTGAAGAAAAAATCTAATTAGGTATGGAAAACATCGTCAATGATAATCGTAACCGAACCAAACCGTGAGACCAGTGTAGATTCACACCCACTCGTTACAATTATAGACCTTTTTCTTGGCTGCTGCATGGAGGGCGCCATACTGACCAGAGTCTTTCGGTAGAATGTTTAGAACTTCCGTTTACATCGTTTACAACCGGTAATTTGCGATCCGAAAATGGGTTTCAACAGCGGATTGAGTGGAATCTGTTAGATCTGTGGCTCTAGAGAAAAACAGTATTGTAAGCCATGCTTCTTTTCATTCTGCTTAATCACGTGCCCCCAAAAATGATATTTAAAGTAAACAAAACAATATGATGTCTTTTGACTGCTTTCTTTAATAACTACATTATAAAATACTTGTACTTTTACTGACGCATTTCTAAAAACAGTTCACGGAGAGAGAAAAGTCAGATTGCCTACACTGTTTGTTATCTTTATTTTTCAAAAGCAGACATGTTTGTTGTCATTGTGAGTGTATAAAACAATAAAAACTAGACACCTAACAGATTCAATTGATGTATTGATCTTTTCTGTACAATCAAAACTGGAAGTGTAATTTACGTTCATTTCAGGGTTATGAGGTGAAAACTTGTCAGAACACGTATACGTGGTCTCCGACCCCTAGGGGTTAAAGAGCACTTCAACTTCTATTCAAGTCGCTTTTTTGATAGAGCACTTGTACTTTTACTTAAGTCTGCGTCTCTAGTACTTTATACATGTCTGATGACCACTCCCCGCCACATGACATACGGATCCAATGCGATCAATTTTCACCAAGTAATGCAACCCACCTTTAGTCCAGTTTTAGTTGGAAATTCATGAAGAAAACGTAAAGCACTGTAGCCTTTCAGTTCTCGTAAACCTTTGATCGAAAACACCATTTTTATTGAAACCATAAGCAGCAAAACCCCCCGTCATCACTATGCCATCATTACTTCATCAAGGAAAATAAATAAAAAGATTATTCTAATGCACAAATTGTGCTGTTATTCATGTACGAAATTTAGTGATTCTTATTTATGTAGTACGATAAGCAGTCTTATTATATTGTTATTATATTATATTGTATATATTATTGTTTTTTGTTTTTTTTTGAGACACTATATATTACTGTTCTTTATGTCATTCAAAACCTGAACATTTAAGAACAAAAATTTATATATTTAAACCTGTCTTACTTTTGGACCTCCTAATTTTTGACTGCCATTAAATGTAAGATTGGTCCCAGTTGAATTCAATTTTATTATTCAATCTGCCAGGTGAAGTTAAATCTATAAAATGTGTAAAAAAATTTAACTAGGTAAAATTACTTTAAAATGTTATATGTCAAGACATACTTCTCTAAACAATAAACCAAAGAAAGATGTTTGAGAAATCATTGCAGAATGCATTTCCATATATTGCAAATCATGCGTCCAAAAAGTGCAATATATAGATCCAGGAAGTTATTCTGTAATTGTAAAACGATGTTACATTTCAGCTGTCATGCAGTAAAAGGTGAAGCTTTTATAAATGATTTAGAAAATACTGACAGTTTTCAGACAGGTTTTCTCAACACTCCCTGTCTGCTGTTGGTCAGCCAAACAGATAGATCCACCCCAAACTCATGCCAATGGCAGAGGCTTTGTTCCCATGTTGGGATGTTAAAACAAAGCATTGTTCTGTCAGCTTGTTTCCAGTTTTCAGTAGATTCAGACTAAGAATGGCTTACGATTATCTCTGCATATTAAATCTGAGATGGGGGAAAGAGTCTTAACATTTTAATGATTAAATTACACCTCAACCTTTATTATGGCTCGTTACTAAAATGTTTCTAACATCAGATTCACTTGCCTGAATTAGCTAATTAGCTCTATAACAGCTTGAGATACTAATGTTGATAATGATCTTAATAATATTTGTCTTGGTATTATTATTGTTTTTTATTAGTTAAATGAGAAAAAGATAATTAACGGAGGAAAAAGAAATAGCAGAACAATGAACATGGCAAGCTAATGAACCACGGCAAAAAAATAAACCATTTGTACCTCTGAACATTAACCACTGCATTGATCTTACCTGCATAATGCATTAACAACGACCTCTGATTATTTATGAGTGCAGAGTGCAGGTATGGTAAATGACACTATGAGTTAGAGGAATTGATTTATGAAACTATACAAACAGCACACATAAGCTCACATTACAGTAATGGCAATGAATGACAATGTACAGTATAACCAATGAACAAGAATATTAAGCAAAAAAGTGTAATGAAACATTGTGTTTGAGACTTTGGTGTCTGGTATATGGTATTAAAGTAATTAAAACACCTACAGACAAAGACAAAATTGTTGGTACCTTTAAAATAAACATTATTTTATATATTCTTTTATTTTTTTAACAACATTTTTCTCCATTATGATACCTAGTAGGGCTAAACAATATATCATTTCAGCATCGATAGCAATGTGCACATTCGCAAGAGTCACAGGATCTGCAATATTGAGTTGGGATTGTAAAGTTTAGGATTGTATAGTTGTATAGTTACATATATTTATTTTGAATTGTGGCTCAACTCCTATATATATAGTTATATACAGCTAGAATAAAAGCAGTTTTTATTTTTTATGAAACCTTTTAAGGTCAAAATTATTAGCCCCTTTAAGCTAGATTTTTTCTCGATAGTCTACAGAACAAACCCTCGTTATACAATAACATTCCTAATTACCCTAACCTGCCTAGTTAACCTAATTAACCTAGTTAAGCCTTTAACTGTCACTTTAAGCTGATAAAATAGAAGTACTTTCAAAATTATCTAGTCAAATATTATGTACTGTCATCATGGAAAACAAAAGATGATAAAGCAGTTATAAGAAATGAGTTATTAAAACTATGATGTTTAGAAATGTGTTGAAAAAATCTTTTCTCCGTTAAACAGAAATTGGGAAAAAAAATAAACAAGCGGTCTAATAATTTACGGGGGCTAATAATTCTGACTTGAACTGTATATGGAGTTACTGCAGAGTTTAACCTTAATGAGGTAAAAGTTTATCGTTTGCACATATTTGAAAGCACAAAAAGCATTCAGACACAACATTTTATTAAAAATATTTTTATTCAACTGTTTAAACAGTAAAGTCTTTGCAGTGTTATTTTAGGTTTGGCTTTTTTCACTTTCTGCACCTGAATGTGATTTGACTATACCCTAAAAACCATAAATCACGGTTTATTACACTTTTATTGACCTTATTCTTTAATGCGGAAGTGCGCTTGTTTTTGTGATTGTTTTAAAACTTCCAACATATTTGCCTATGGGAGAAATGACTTGGAATAATAAACGAAAATAAGAAGAAGAAGAAAAAAAAATCAGTCAAACTACTTTCTCTACAAACAAGTGTTTGCATGAATATACAGACAAAGCAGAATCATATAATAAGAAAATATTAGTTTGCAACATCAAGCAGCAGCATCAAGCTGTTTTTAATGTCTAAAAATAAATGGAAGTGAATGAGACTGGAAGTCTCAAGCCAAAAAAGATGAAAAAATTCAAATGGCTCATACGTGCTCATACGCGGAGAATAAGGTGAATATTTGTAAATTACATTTCAAGCATTATTTGTTCCCCTACAAAATCATGCAAAAAGATTGAAAATTAATCCATTGTTTCCAAATTCTACTTATCTGGTGAAATTGTATTTATATTGCAATATATATTGCATAAAAACAAAATATCACAATGTCCAATTTTTCAGATTTCATGTAGCCCTAATACCCGGCCAATTTTACATAGTAAAAACATAAAAAACGCTCATCACAAAAGACCCATTTTTATTTAAAAGTATCTTTTGACAATCCACAGCATTATACCACTGACCCCATTTCCCTTCATTCAACAACTGCACAAGTCGAAACCCCTTCAAAGAACATCCCATCCTTTCCTAATCAAAGCACTGTCTGTGAAACCAACTCTTCCATGAAGCAAAACAAGCAGCAAACCATCCACCTCTGCTTTAGTCTCTCTTGCTAAAATCACAATCACACACATACGCACACACACACTCTGTGCCTGTTCCTGCTCTAAATAGTTCAATCAGAAGCGTTCGTGGGCGACACTATGGGACCCGTCCGCCTGGGCCTCGGGTCTCCATCCAGCAGATGAGCCTGCCAGCGGCTCCGAGCAAACAGGCAGATGGTGTATAAGCGGACAGATCCGCTCTCCATCAGCGCCGG